CCCGTTCTGTTTTCGACTCCGTTCGCAGACTCCCGTTCTCAGAGTTTCCGCGCGTCTCTCTCCTTGCCGAGCGGATGTAGAGGCAGCCAGCCACTGCGCGGCGGGAAACCCAAATCGCGGCTTCCAATGGCGCAGGGTCCAGCCTCAGCAGGGAGACTTTTCTGTTCCTGTTTTAGCACCAGGACTGCATTCCAAGTTGGTTTCTCTCAGCCGAGTTCGTTCCTGAGTCAGCAGAGCATAACTCCACCTGCTTATGTCTCTTTAGTCCGCACCATACCTGGCTTCTGAGCCTAGTTTTTCAGAGAGCCTCCGGTAGTTGCTGTTATCTGTCCGCCATGTTCTCCCGGAAGTCGAAGATCTATTTTTTATTTTTAGAGACAGGGTCTCAATGTGTAGCCCAGACTGGCCTCTAACTCATGGCCATCTGCCTGCCTCATCCTCCTGAGTTCCGGGATTACAGACATAGGTCACCATACCTGGTTACGGGTATATATATATTTTTTATTCTATGGTTGTATCAAAATTTTGTTACCTTATATTATTGGCACTTGGGCTGCCTCTACATTTTTATATTAGAAACCATGCTTTTAAAATTTTTTTGACTATCAGAGATTGAAACCAGGAAGTACTTAAACTACATTTCCACTCCTTTTTATTTTTTACTTTGAGACAAGGTCTCACTACATAGCCCAGGCTGGCCTTGAACTTGCAGTCCTCACACCTCAGATTCCCAAGTAGCAGGAACTGCTGGGTGTCATGGTGCATATTCCTAATTGCAGCACTGAGATGCAAGGATCACCTTGAGTTTGAGGCCACCGTGGGGTACACAGTGGTTCAAGGCCAGCCTGAACTACATAGTGAGACCCTGTCTCAAAACAAACTAGGAATCTGGGCATGGTGGCTCATGCCTGTAATCCCAGCACTCGGGAAGCTGAGGCAGGAGGATCGTTGCCAAGTTTGAGACCAGCCTGGGCTACAAAGTGAGCTCAAGGTCAGCATAGGGAGACCCTGTCTCAAAGACAAAAAACAAACAAACAAACTGGGCTGGTGTTTTGCTCAGTGGCACAGTGCCAGCCTGGCAAGTGCAAGGCCCTGAATTTGATTCTTGATACCAAACAACAACAAACCAAGTAGCTGGGATTATAGGCCATGCCTAGCCTGTGAAAGACTTTTGTGAGTCACACTAGTTTATGTATTTCATAAGTGTTTTTTTTTCTTTTTAGTACTGGAGATCGAACCACAGAGCCTTTATACTGAGGTACATCTCCAGTTCTGTTCTCTCTCTTCCTATTTTTTTTTTTTTTTTTTTTTGTCTTTTTCATTTTTCTTGGTACCTGGGATTGAACTCACGACGCCTCCTTGCAAGGCAGGCACTTATGCCGCTGAGCTAAATTCCCAGCCCCTATTTTTTGAGACAGGATCTTGCTGTGTAGTCCAGGCTGGCCTTGAGCTCACCATGTAACCCAGGCTGTCCTTGAATTTGAGGCATTCTTCCTGCCTCAATCTCCAAGTGCTAGAATGACAAGTGTGTGCCACCATGCCTGGTTTCAGTTGGTTTTGTGTTGTGTTGTTTTTTGAGAAAAAGGAAAAGAGGATGGATCTTAGAATCTCATTAAATTGCTAAATTGTCCGTACTTGAATTTGGAATCCTCCTGCCTCAGCCTTCCAGGCTCTTGGCATTGGACCTAAATTTGTTATTGATCTTTTCAAATAATTGACATTTGACTGGAAATAGTGGTACATGCTTACAGCCTCCCATAATTTGGGAGCCTGAAGCAGGAGGAGTGTGATGAGTTTGAGACCAGCCAACCTGGGCTACATAAGCTCAAGGACAGCCTGAACTACATAATGAGACCCCATCCCCCCCAAAAAAAAGAAAGAAAGAAAGAAAGAAAATTGGCATTTGCTTCCATTCTTTTCTAAAATTGGCATTTGCTTCCATTCTTTTCTATTTCCTGTATCATTTATATCTTCTTTATTTCCTTAAGTGAAACTTAAATAATTTTATATTTCTGTAAGATTTAAAATTAGGAAAGTACTTTTAAGCACTGATTCTGACAACCAACAATTTTGAGTGTGCGTCATGTATCAAAAGCATAGGCTTGTGCATGCAAGCATGTGTTCTACCACTGAAGCTCCAGCCCAGCTTTGTTTTTGCTCGAACTCTAGGCAATCCTCCTGCCCTCTGCCTCCCAAATGCTGATGAAGCAGGAAATTCCAGGGGATCCCTGACAGAACCAAGGAGTCATGGAGTTTTAGGAACTAAGAGCAGTTTATTGCTAGCGTCTCTCTAGGGGACAAAGGTCCCCCTGAGAGCGGGAGAGCAAAGCCCTGCTTTCACTTTTATATTGTTTCTATTCTACCGGGCAGTATTTCATTGGAAATCAGCACAAAGCAAAGTTACAGAAGCGAAAGCAATGATTAAACGTAGTGAAGTCATCAAAGAGGGCGGGGAGTTCAGATGGGGCTTGAACAGTGACCAAGGGCAGTGGAAAGCTCTCTGGAGCCTTCTAAGTCCTCTGGGATTTGTGGACATCACCTCACGGCTCTACTGTACACAGCCACGGTCTCAGTCATCAGTCTCCTCAGGGAGCTTAGCCACACAGCTGCCCACTTTCACCCCAGGAAGCGGTCTTCTCTCACTGGGAATACAGGCGTGTGCCACCACATCCAGCCTCCTCATCAGCTCTTTTTCCTCTGGTACCAGGAACTGAATTTAGGAATTCGCACTTGCCAGGCAGGCACTGTGCTTTTGAGCTATATTCCAGGCCCCTCCTCATCAGCTCTTTGTGATTAATTTCTAATTTATTTCTGCTGAGGCCAAAGAGCAAGCTTGTAATTATTTCAGTCCTTTTTAGTTTTTGACCCTAATGTTCCATGTATGCTTGGAAGAAAATGGGTGCAGGGTTCTGTTTGATGCTGCTTGACTGTGATTGCTTTGTTCACCTCTTCTGTCTCCTTTGGTTTTCTGTCAGTTACTCTGAGAACCACTAAAATCTCCAATTATGGGTGTCTCACTTCTCTGGTCAGCTCTGTCAGTTTTCTTTCATATATATAAATATATATATATTATATATATATATATATATATATATATATATTTGTTGTTGTTTTTTTTTGAGACAGGGTCTCACTCTGTAATTCAGGCTAGCCTTGCACTCACTGTACAACCCAGGCTGGCCTAGAATTCAGTCATCCAGCCTCAGCCTCCCAAGTGCTGGGATTACAGGTATGACCCACTATCTCTGATAATAGTCTTGGTTTTAAACTTCACTTTGTCTGGTATTAATTTAGCTACCAACTTTCCTATGATTGTTTGCATGATACATCTTTTTCTATCTTTTAGCCTATTTTAATACTTGAAATATGTTCATCATATCTTTAGGTTTTGGTTTTTAAAATCCAGTTTGATAATTTATTTCACTTCACACTTTCTTCCCATGGCTTAAAAATGAATCCCAGCTAGGAATATAGCTCAAGAAAGAAAAAATGAAGTCTACTTTAAGTTTATTTTTAATTTATCTTTTAGTATATGTGCTGCTGAAGCATTTTTAAAATTTACTTTTTTGGGGCTGGGGCTTTAGCTCAGCGGCCTAAGCGCCTGCCTTGCAAGCAGGCAGTCCTGAGTTTGATCCCCGGTACCGCTAAAAAAAAAAAAAAAAAAAAAAAAAGTTTTATTTATTTGAGGCAGGGTCTCACTATGTAGTCCGGGCTGACCTTAAGCTCATGGCAATCCTTCTGCCTCAGGCTCCTACCTCAGGTTGATCAAATGCTTTCATATGCATCATCATTTGCTGAAAAAAAAAATCTGCTAGTGGAGGCCTATGTGTTACACATCTTATATGTGTTTTATTTTCAAGCATGTGCTTTGTCCTTGTGAGCAGTTTTTGTTGTGGTTATTGTTGTTTTTTAAGACAGAGTCTCACCACGCAGTTCAGGTTGTCCTTGAACTCAGTATATACATCAGGCTGGCCTTGAACTCACTATATAGCCCCGCTGGCCTTAGACTCACAGAGAACCTTCAGCCTCAGCCTCCTGAGTGCTAGGATTATAAGAGGTTGTTGTTTTTGAATCCAGGGCTTTGTACATGCTAGACAAGTGCTGTACCACTGAGCTACACACTCCTGCTCTTCGCCAGTTCTTTTTGATTCTTAGAAATCAAACTTTTTTGTTGAAATCTATCAAACTGGACACTTTAAGAGTATGCATATAGAAGTTAAACCTCAGAGGCTAGGGGTATAGCTTACTAGTGGATCGTGTGCCTGGCATGTATAAGGCCCTGGTTTCAATCTTTAGCATTAGAGGGGAAAAAAACAGTAAGAGAAGAAATTATACCTCAGTACAGTTTATTAAAAAGACAAATCTAAACCAGGCATGCAGTGGGCATACTGGTGCACTTCTGTAAGTCCAGCACTTAGGAGGCTGAGGTAGGAGGATTGTTGCAAGTTCGAGATCAGCCTGGGCTAGAAAGTAAGCCTAAAGCCAACCTGAACTGCATAGCATGATCCTGTCTCAACAAAACAGAACAAACAAACAAACAAAAAACCCCCACAAAAAACCAAAGCAAAACAAGCCAAAACTAAACTAAACTGTTTCAGCAGGGTATGGTGGCACATGCTTTGTAATCCCTTTGGGAGGTTGAGGAAGATCACCATGAACTGTTTCCAAAGTGGCTTGTGTTGGTTTCCCTTTTGACCCCAGGGTAAGAGTTCCTGTTTCTCTACCTCGCTGATGCCTCCTTGACAGACCTGTACATGCCCACCCTTCTGCCACCTCAGTCTTTACACTGCAGGTGCTGACCCTATACTGAGGGCTTATGTGCAACATCCACTTCGTCCTCACAGATCTTATCATGTATGAACAAGACAGCAAGTCTCTGTCCTGTCTCTGACCTCAGCATTCTCCAGTGCCTGGGTCACAGTATGTCTTCCTTCTTCCTGCCGGAGTGGGGCCGAGTCCCAAGCGGCCTCAGAACCACTCCCGGATCCCTTCCTCCTCAGGCTGCTACTCCCTGTCAGTCCGACTCAGCCGCCCCGCATCTTGGGACCGGGTCAGACACTACAGGATCCAGCGCCTTGACAACGGCTGGGTGTACATCTCCCCTCGTTTCACCTTCCCCTCACTCCAGGACCTGGTGGACCATTACTCAGGTATGGCCTTTCTTGTCTCCCTGAAATACGGGACAGGGGGGCCTAGGAGGTAGGCAGTTCTGAACTAGGCACCTGACCTGCTGGACATCCTCCATGCAGGAGAGCGACACTGTCCCCATGCCAGTCCCTATACTGAGATAAAATGGGAGCCTGGGCTTCATCCCACTGACAGGAGCTATAGGCCGCAGACAAAGCCAGCACCTCATCCACCACAGTGGTTCTCAGTCAGGGTGCCTGGCAGCAGGCAGAGTTCTCTCTCCAATTCCGACTCGGTATTTCCTGGGACCTAGCCTGTAATAGACACTGGAAAATGTGGTTAGTGTCAGGCAGAAGACCTCTTTTAGAAAAACTGGCCAGGGCCGGGGATTTAGCTCAGTGACATAAGTGCCTGCCTTACAAGCACTTCAATCCCTGGTACCAAAAAAAAAAAAAAAAAAAAAAAAAAGAAAAAACTGGCCAGGTTGCTCCACATAGTGGATACCAACAATGTTCCATGCAGGCATGGCATTCCTTACTTGCTTTTCTTCCCAAAGAACTTTCTTAGCCAGAGGGCATAGAGGTCCATCAGTTTCCCCAATGAGTTGTTTCCCTGAACTCAACCCAGATGGACAGTGACTGCATCTCAACCTCCAGAACAGCCTGGGCCCATGACCTGCTACTCTGGTGACCAGGCCCCCACCTGCAAGTATGGAAAGCTGTCCATACTTGCATGGGAGAAGCAGGGCTGCACTGGAGATATCAAAGGTCATTTCTCTTCCTCAGAGCTGGCGGATGACATCTGTTGTGTCCTCAAGGAGCCTTGTGCTCTGCAGAGATACAGCCCACTCCCTGTCAAGAACATACCCCCACCTGTGACCGTGCAGAGAATATCACTCAACTGGAAAGAACTGGACAGGTGAGAGGACCCCTGGAAATATCAGAGAGCAAACAAAGAAGCATCGGGACCCAGACCTGGGAACACAAAACACAAAATGGGCCTACTGTGCTTAGTGACACTTGGGCCAGAGCTCTCTGACTAGAGCTCAGCAGGGTCAGGGATAGCATGGGATGACAGAAAGGACAAAGCAAGTGTGGTCCCCACAGAGGAAGAGCACAAGCCTGTGTGGGGAGTCGAAGTGGGGTTTGATCGGACAGGATGCAGGGATCCCGTTTGCCAGGTGGAGTAACTCAGAGCGGTTTTGAGAGCAGTGCGCTGTGTGCAGGTACTATCTCCCTTCCTAACTTCTCCCTGACCCACTCCACAGCTCCCTCCTGTTTTCTGAAGCACCTACCACTGGGGAGGCCTCTCTTCTCAGTGAGGGGCTCCGGGAGTCCCTCAGCTCCTACATCAGCCTAACTGAGGATGTCTCCTTGGATGATGCCAAGGTCAGAAGCAGAGGTCGGAGGGGGAACCAAGGCTGTGGCACCTAGAAGACCATGGTGTGTCGCGAGGCTTGGGACACAAGTGCATCCAGGGATCCACATGGACCCTCTGCTTCTTTCTCTTGGCCCTAAGAAGTCACTGATCTCATCCCCTGGCTATGACCCTGCCTGCAGCTTCTATTTAGAATGCAGGGCAGTTGGGAGCAGGATCAGGGCTCCAAGAAAATAAACTACCACTGGGATCTGTCGGGTCCTGATTTTGACAATTCCAGTTCTATGTGAATCCCATTCTACATGCTGTTAACCAGCCCTATTTACAATGTATCAGTCACCACTAACATAGAGGAGGGAAAAAGATCATATTAGAACACCAATGTACTTTCTTACCTTGGCAAACAGGACTGCGACCCAGAAGGAAAAGGCTGGTGGCTGATCACAGCAGCAAATCCTGGGTTTTTAGCTTCCACCTGACTCTCAGAACAAGTAGGACCACTGTCAATCCAGGTCCTCAAATGTCACCTGCAAGCCCCTTCTCTGTACAGTCCCAGCTTTCAGTTGTCCATTCTGTAGCTTATTCAAAACCAACCAAGTTCTCCCAATCTCCCCAGCCTAGTCATCTTGTGGCCAAATACAAAGTGAACCTCCCCCCTCCCCAATCATCTCATTGTGTAGCTCAGGTTTGTATCTTGCCTTGGCCTCCCAAGATTATAGGTTTGCATCACTGCAACTGGCTCAAAGTAACACTGGTTGAGCCTAACATGCTGTAGATGAGCACAGAGCCAAAGAGCACAGTGTGCAGTATGTGGGCATAAGAAGGTAGTGAGCCCTCTCCCCACAACACACCTGAGCACAGCCTGCACCAACTACACCCTGACTTCCCTGCTGCCCGCAAGAGGAAGGCTTGGCTGCAGAGCAGAAAGAAAAAGGGAGCAGAAAGAAAAAGGAGCTGTCTCCTCCGATACTCCTCCGAGGCTTCAGGTGAGGTAGGGAAGGGTTTATCAGGTACCATCAGCAGGTTCTCATTAAAGATTTGTTTATTCAAGTATCTGAAAGCATTCTACAGTGGGAACATTAGATGCTGTTTGTACTGTGCTATGGACCATAAATGTACTGCCATACTGGTTTCAGAAGACTTGAAATGCCACTGATAGTTTAAAAACTGTACACCGGATAGAGAACCGAGGAAGACAATTTAATGTTTCATCCGGATTCAGAGGTGCATCAAATTAAATGACAGCTCCACTTGGCAAATGGCTGTTACATGATGGTATCCAAGAAACAGTTGGTGACGGATAAATTCAGAAATGCTTTCCCCAAAGCAGATTGGTTCTTTACAAAGTTTTGGGTCACAGCCCTTGTAGAAAACACTGCTGCCCAACATCCTAATTCTTGGTCCAGGAAACATGGGTCTTCAGGTTCCATGTGACCAGGGTGCCCCAACAATCATTTTTCTGTGCTGTTATTAGAGGGTCCTTTGGACTGGACAGGAAACAGATGGGAGGTGTCCACTATCAGTCATAGTGGATGGCAGTGTAAAAGATGATCCAGATTACCTAGAGGGCAGACGAGCAATGCTTATAGGTTACCAATTCCACAAAGTGAGAATACGCATACAGAGTAGTCCCCTAGTACTACCCAACGCATAACCCAGTGGGAAGGAGGCATTGGTTATTTCACTAATCTCAGGCTGTCTGTAAGCACGCACAGGACAGCCCACTTATGCTCACAAAGGGATCTCCTGATAACTCCCTCCCCTCACCAAACAGCACCCCGGTCCCAGGGAAGGGCGGTACAGTGTGGAATCAATACACAGAAGGCTGCATTGCTGCAAGTTTGAGGGCAGCCTGTGGTACACAGTGAGATGCTGTCAAACAAAACAAGAACCAAACCAGACAGCCAGACACAGTAGCTCTGACCTGTAATCTCAACTGGGAGGCTGAGGCAAGAGGACTTTTGAAAGTATGAGGCCAGCCCAAGCAACTTAGTAAGACCCTGTTGCAAAATAAAAAACAGCTGAAGGTGTCGCTCAGTGCTTCTTGATTTCAACACACACACACACACACACACACACACACACACACACACACTTCCAGGTGTGTAATCCCAATAGCTGAGTGGCAAAGGCAGGAGGATTGCTGTTTGAGACCAGCCTGGGATACACAGTAAATTCAAGACCAACCCGATTTACAAAGCAAGACTTTGTCTCAAAAAACTTAACAAAAACAAAACCAAAAAGCCCCACCAAAAACAGATAATCCGATACCACTTACCAGTGTTTACTGGTTTGGGTAGGATCTGGAAACACATGGATGTGTATGTAATTTTTATTTTGCAGCAGAGTTATTATGCTGTGCAGGCTGACCTCAAACTCACCATCCATCTGCCCTCACCTCCCAAGCAGCTGGGATCACAGACATCCACCACTATGGCTGGCTCAGAATTTTTGAATAACTGAAATATAATTCACATTCTACGAAGTTTTCCCTTTTAAAAGAAAGTATTCAGTTAATGGGCTGGGGATTTAGCTCAGCAGCATAAGCACCTGCCTGGCAAGCAGGCAGTTGTGAGTTCGATCCCCGGTACCGATAAAAAAGAAAAAGACAAACAAACAAACAAATAAATAAATATAAATTTAAAAAAAAGTGCTAACTAGGCTGGGAGTTAGCTCAGTGGCATAAGCACCTGCCTGGCAAGCGCTAGGTCATGAGTTCGATCCCTGGTACCAAAAAAAAAAAAAAAAAGTACAGTTTAGAACTTTTCGTTTTGGGACAGGGTCTCACTATGTAGTTTAGGCTGGACCTGAACTCACTATGTATGTACCCCAGGCTAGAGCTCAATTTAGGGTAATCCTCCTGCCTCAGTCTCCCAATTGCTGGGATTATAGGCAGGTGCCACCACACCTGGCCAGAAAGTTTTAGTATGTTCACAAAGTTGTGAAATATACACAATGATTCCCAAATAGCACTCCAAGATGAAAGTCTGTTCGCATGACCAGTTATTACTTCCTACTTCTCTCTTTCCTCAGGCACTGCAATCATTAATCACTTCTGTCTCTAGAGATTTGCCTACTTTAGGACGTTTCACATGAACAGTGAGTGAACTGGGGATTGAACCTATATCCCATGTACTAAACTATACTTTTCGCCCTTCTAAAAATTTGTTTAAAAAAAAGAAGTGTTTTGCAACAGGCTTTCCATAAATTGCTTGAACTTTCAGTCCCCCTTCTGCAGCCTCCCAGAGGGCTGACACTATGGTTTCATGCCTGACTTCAGTACACAGTTTTTTTGTGTCTGGATTCTTCCACTTAGCATTGTTTTCAAGGTTGTAGTATATATCAAAACTTACAACTTTTGGGCTGGGGATTTAGCTTATTGGCATAAGCGCCTGCTTTACAAGTGTGTGGTCTGTGGTCGTGAGTTCAATCCCCGGTACGGATTAAAAAGAAAAAGACAAAAACAAAACAAAAAAAACTTACAACTTTCTTTTTTTAAACTTGTAACTTTTTATGGACAAATAACATTCTACAGCAGGGAGTGGGGATTTTTACTTTATATAACTATTCCAAATAACATTTTAAGTGCATTAAATGTTTCCCCGTTTCTCATATGTAGCCAAGCCAGGGTTTAGCATGAATGAAGCTGACAGTAGGCCCTGGGTCTGCGCATTGTAAGAGAGTCACCGTACAGCATCTCATACCACATCTTTTGGGACAGCCTGGTTCAAGAGAGGGATCACTCCATCCTCATGGGCCTTCTGAACAAAATGACACCTCAACCACGTAGCGGAACTCAATCACTGGGTTTCCCTGGCATGAATGGCATCTCATGAAAGGAATAGAACCTGTAGTAGAACTTCCAGGTACATACCATGAACAAAGCAAAAGATGTCATAAATCCTTCTTTTGTGAGTTCCCATGTGCCACCATATTCTTCCTCATCAATCTGTAGATAATTGCTGAAGTAGAGGTACAGGACTCCTGCATTGATCAGGCAGAATCTGGAGCAACGGAGGACAGATACCAAACACACACTGTAACCTTAGCAGACTCTCAGCTCCTACCAGACCGCTGAGCACATGCAGTTCACTGTCTGCATGTGTCTCACACCAGGCAGGGATGACCTGGAAAGAGAAAAGCTTCGAGCTCAGGCATGTGGGCTTTAGATGAGTTCTGCTTCATTTTGTGAGACCTTCTGCACATCTCTTGACAGGCATCTCAGTTCCCTGATGTACAAAATGAGGAAGCTGAAGAACATGATGTCAGGAGCAAGTGAACTAATATACAAAAGTAGGATGTGGTGGGGCATGCCTGAAATTCTAGCACTCAGGAGGCTGAGGCAGGAGGTTCACTGTGAATTCGAGGATAGTCTGGGCTACATAATGAGTTTAATGCCAGCCTGAACTACATGACAAGACTTTCTCAGAAAATAAAAAACATAGCTCAATGGCAAAGTACTTGCCTAGCATAAACAGGGCCCTGGGTTAGATCTCTAGTACATATACTGGGTAACATATACTGCTACCCAGTAAGATACAATGGCCACCCAACTACCCAAACAGAACCTACCCAGACACGGCCTTTACACAGTCCCAGATGAAGGGGACAAATGTGCTGCTGTGGGACAAATGTGGTAAACTACTTTTTTTGAGACAGTTTCATTATGGAGTTCAGGCTGAACTTGCACTCACTTCGTAGCCCAGGTTCCCCTCAAACTCACAACAATCCTCCTGCCTCAGCCTCCTGTGTGCTGGGATTACAGGCTTGTACCACCACGTGCAACCTTGGATTACTTCTTTACAGCCCAGTAAAACAAGCAACAGCACAGGCCCCTGCACAGCTACTAAGGGGAGATCATTCTGGATATGTGTCTGCCACTGCACTTGATCAGGTGATAATTTAGTAGGGACAAAGAAGAGCAACAGCTGGGCATGGTAGTATACGCCTCTAATCCCAGCACTTTGGGAGGCTGAGGCAGGAAAAATGAATTGAGTTTGAAGCTGGCCTGAACTATACAGGGAGACACTGGGAAAAAAAAAAAAAAAGAAAAGAAAAGAAAACAATACAGAAACAGAGCAACAAAAGTAAAGTTGAAGCCAGCAGTCTGTGGACATCCCCAGGGAAGCCTCCCTCACTATTTACCTGTTTTCATTAGTGCATCTTGGTTATACAGATTAAAATGTTTTATCTTGGCTGATCTGTACATGCACATAATATACTTCCAACAGTTTCACCTCTCCTGTCATCTCCCCTTGCCATGGTCTCCCCTCCCAGAAGTCTTTGACCCCATAGTGACTTTAGCTGATGTAGGAATTGGAATGCAGTGAGCATAATGCAATTCCCTACTGTACTCATCTCTTGGTTTTATGAAGTGATCAAGACTGTCTGGAGGTCTTTCAGTTTCTGCACCCAACCTAAGAGGGTACTGTGTGTCTCAGGCCACGTCCCATTTAAGGGCAGAGGTGGGAGAATGAAAAGGCTGGAGTAGAGTTCTATGGCAGGGTCTGTGCTTACCACGCACAAGGCCAAGAGTTCAAGCCCCCAGTGCCAAAAGAAAGAGGCAGAGAGAACAGGCTCCTACCAGTAGGAGGAGGAGACGAGTGTGGGGCAGTTCAGTGGAGCCCAATGAGCTTCTAATCAGCATGCAGGGCAGGGGAGCCCCTGAGGCTGTCTAGCAAGGTGGGGAGGTGTGAAACTTTGGGAGTCTAGCTCATGAGCCCGAGGACTTTCTTGTGAGCAGAAGCATGGGTGAGGAAGACTGGGCAGACCTGTGGGCACCACACATTTTAGGACATGGGAGCAAGGACAGAGTGGGCAAGTGGCTGCATGAGGAGGTGAAAAGGCTTCATGCCTGGGAGCACAATGCTTCCAACAACAGAGGCACAGAGTGAGGAAGAACAGAAGGTTTTTCCTGGATTTCACACAAAATACAGTTCTTGACTTGGCCGAGTTGTGGCCACTTCCTTATCTCATGCCAGAGATCTTGGGACCCAGCCAACACCAGCCACCTTCTGACAGGAACTTAGTTTTTGGATTTAGTGGCTTTAGCTGCAGATCACTGAAGAAAGCTAGAAATTCCACTCTGGAAAAAAACAATTGGCTGGGCATGGTGGCACACACCTGTAATCCCAGCACTCAGGAGTCAGGCAGGAGGATCATTATAAGTTCAAGACCAGCCTGGGCTACGAAGTTGAGCTCAAGGCCAGCCTGAACTGCATAGTGAGACCTTGTTTCAAAAAGAAAAGAAAAAAAAAAAAAAAAAAAGCCATTCTGAGATTCAGAGAAGCTGGGCTGGAGCAGGACTATAGACTCAAGGCGTAGGGAATGACAGGGAGAAAAGGCCCTGCCTTCCTGGGCTATAATACTAAGTAGGGAGTGAATTCAAAGAAACAAAGGTGTTTAAATCCAAGTTTGGCGGCCTTAGGAAAGACTGGAAGGGCTCCTGCCGAGCATTAAATATGGGCACAATTTAGCTAACTAGATGGCAGTGCTGGGATATTGGAGATTTTGTTGTTGTTGTATTTTTGAGGCAAGGTCTCATTATGTACTCCAAACTGACCTTGCGCTTACCATGCAGTCCAAGTTGGCCATGAACTCATGATGATCCTCCTGTCTTAGCCTCCCAAGAGCTGCAATCTCAGGCATATGCTACCATGCCTGGTGTGGGATACTGAGGATTGAACACCAGGGTCTTTACCTTCACTTCTGCTGCCTTTCTGAGATAGGGTGTCAATAAGTTGCACGGGCTGGAACTTATGATCCTCTTGCCTCAGTCTCCCAGAATGCTGAGCTTGTGAGTATGTGCTACTTCAACTAGTATAATTTTTTTTTTCTTTTTTTTCCCCGGTACTGGGGATCGAACTCACGACCACGTGCTTGCAAGGCAGGTGCTTATGCCGCTGAGCTAAATCCCCAGCAATTTTTGTTTTACAAATGAGAGAAAAGCCAGCTGTGGTGGCCCATGTCTATAATCCAGCACTCTGGGAGGCTGAAACAGGAGAATCATAAGTTTGAGCCCAGCCTAGATGATCTCATTATTCAGTAAAATCCTATCTCAAAAAAAAAAAAAAAAAGGGTGGAGCTGGGGATTTAGCTCAGCAGCATAAGTGCCTGCTTTGCAAGCAGGCAGTTGTGAGTTCAATCCCCAGTACCGATAAAAAGCAAAAAAAGACACACACACACACACACACACACACACACTCACACACACAAAAAAAAAAAAAAAAAAAAAAAAAAAAAAGGAAAAAGGGAGAGGGATGTAGCTCAATGTGAAGGCTCTAAATTCAATCCCCAGTACAAAATCAATCAATCAATCAATCAATCTACTCCAGAGGCTGGAGTTAAAAGACAATGAATCTGTAACAAATAACTTGCTCTCAGGGCTGGAAAACTACACTGTAATATAATAGCTTATTTTTGAGTTCAAGACCAGCCTGAACTACATAGTGAGACCTTGTTTCCAAAAACAAAAGAAAACAAAACACCATGTCCTTGGCCTTTGTAAGAGCAGGAGAAAAGATGCCAGCCAAAAGAAGAGAGAGATTTGTTTAGAGGGAGAAAAATGCTCTGGCAGACAGTGTAGGCCTGAACTCCAGAAAATGGACAGTCCTAAAAAGCTGGCAGCGTCACTGTGGATGGACTGCGTTCACTCCCATACATCCTGCTTCCCGTTCCTTCAGCAGCCGTTTACCACTGTATCAAATTAGTCACCTAGGGGCTGGGGATTTAGCTCAGCGCCCGGTACCGATAAAAAGGAAAAAGACAAAAGACAAAAAAAAAAAAAAAAATTAGTCACCTAGTGATGGAAGTGAACCATTTATAGACTGTCTACGATATACTAAATACTGTATTTATCTGTATCATATTTAATTCACATCAGTTATTCTCATTGCCCCCAGCTTACAGGGGAAGAGGAGTCTCAAAGACATAGGCTCAAAATTATGCAGCTTGAGATTGGCACTCCTAAAATGGGCACGGTGGTGCCTGCCTATAATTCCAGGAAGATTGAGGAGTGTAAGGCCAGCCTAGATTACAATGACACTCCCATCTTGAAAGGCAAAAAACCCAGGGGCTGGGGATTTAGCTCAGCGGCATAAGCGCCTGCCTTGTAAGCAGGCAGTCGTGAGTTTGATCCCTGGTACCGATAAAAAGGAAAAGGACAAAAAAAAAAAAAAAAAGAAAGGCAAAAAACCCAAACAAACAAAATAACAGGCTGGGGATTTAGCTTAGTGGCATAAGTGCCTGCCTGGCAAGTGCAAGGTCATGAGTTCAATCCCTGGTACCAAAAAAAAAAAAAAAAAGCCAAGTGTGGTGACCCACACACACCTTAATTCTAGCCCTCTGGGAAGTGGTCTTAAAAAAATAAAGGGTTGGGGGGAGCGTGGATAGAGTTGATGCTTAGTGAGAAAGCCCTGGATTCAATCCCTAGTACCACCAAAAAAACAGAAGGGAAGGAATTAAAGGGGGAGAGCACAAGGAGACCCAGGGTCTGTTTGACAATAGGAGAAAGCACACTGAACCACCTCCGGTCCTGGTTTGTCACAGATCTTTAAATGCAGTTAAACACAGTAACATTTAAACATAGAAAAAACACAGTGGCAAAGATTTTGATACTTTCATGATTTTGGGAGTCTTGAAATATAAGGTGTGTGACAGAAAAATACAGTGAATGTAAACTCTAAAAATTACAATAGAAGACACACTGCATCAGCTCCTGTTACACTCCCCCACCTCAAACACACACCCCACTGCGCCCGCTTCTGGAAGACTCTGAAGTCCTCTGTGTGAGTGTCTCCAGCTGCAGTCATTCATGATTGCCTCTATGTTTTAAATCAATTCAAAATGTTTCCCTTCACAATCATTCTGACTGTGGGGAAGAGGGAGAGGTTTCAAGGTGCCAGATCTGGGGAGTAAGGTGAAGGAGGACACATTGCAGTGTTTTCACAAGCCTGCCTTTCTGGATGACACAAGGCACAGTGGTTACTGTGCATCTGGTCACACCCTGTAAAGTCACTCATGAAAGAAAACTCTAGAACTGCTTCAAAAAGTGGCAAGGATGGGATAAATGTTTGCAGCAAGGAGTATTCCGAGGGGGATTAATAGCAGTGTGTCTTTTACTGTAATAAAATTTTAAAATCTAAACATTCACTCATATATTCTGATCACACTTCATCTGTCCCCTGTGGATAAAGTAGGGATTAATACACATTTCTTTTGGGTTATCTTCTTTTTTCAAAAAGTTTTTTTGAGCCGGGCGTGGTGGCTCACAGCTGTAATCCCAGCACTCGGGAGGCTGAGGTGGGAGGATCATTTCGAGTTCAAGACCAGCCTGAGCTACAAAGTGAGCTCAAGGCCAGCCTGAACTGCATAGTGAGACCCCATCTCAAAAAAAAGACAAAAAGGGGCTGGGGATTTAGCTCAGCGGCATAAGCGCCTGCCTTGCAAACAGGCAGTCGCGAGTTCGATCCCCAGCACCGATAAAAAGGAAAAAGAAAAAAAAAAAAAAAAGTTTTTTTTGAGACAAGGTTTCACCATGTAGTTCAGACAGGCCTTAAACTCACTATGTAGCCCAGGCTGGTCTCGAACTTCTGAGAAAACAGGCAAATCAACCCTATGAAATGCATTTCATCTCATACCCTAAAGGAGATGGAATAATAAGATACTATGATCACCCCTTAATAAATGATGCGGTTTTCCATTGAGGAGATGGTGACTACTTGTTTGTTTTTTTTTTTTTTTTTGGTCTTTTTCGTTTTTATCAGTACCAGGGATCAAACTCACAACTGCCTGCTTGCAAGGCAGGCGCTTATGCCGCTGAGCTAAATCCCCAGCCCCGATGGTGACTACTTGTATGCCCCACATAGAAAAGGAAATGCCCTCCATTTCCACAATCTCGTGTCTTTTTTTTTTTTTTTTTAACCTGGTACCAAGGATCAAACTCACAACCACGTGCTTGCAAGGCAGGCACTTATGCCGCTGAGCTAAATTCCCAGCCCCTTCGTGTCCTCTTTTAATTCTATCTGATGGGCACAAAGCCTCACTTTCAGTAGTGTTAACAAATTCAGCCATGACCAGGGGCTGGTGTCAAGTTGCTGCCACTGGCCAGGGGAATATAATACGAGTAAGGCCCAGTTGTCTACTCTGGGGTTGCTCTTAAAATGCAGGGACCTGATGTATCTTTTTTCAGGCTATCCTTGAACTTACTAGGTAGTCCAGGCTGGCCCTGAACCCATGGGGATCCTCCTGTCTCAGCTTCCCTAGTACTGGGATTACAGGGGTATACTACCATGCTTGGTCAAAGTCAGTATTTGGCAGATGCAACACAGTGCAAGGCACCATCACAAGATGGTCATTAAGCACAGTTCTATTTCCCAAATTTCCATAGGTTCAGCTCATGACAGATTTAGAAGATATACTCTAATGAGTATATGGCATTTTCTTTCATGAAGTCACTTTAGAGCCATGAATGAATGGATTAGCTTAGGCGTCAGGAAGGCAGCTTGCCTCACCTGAGATGTTCATTCATTCCTGAGTCTGATGAACTGAAAAATGCTACAGGAGACCCAGGAGTGTCATCACAGAGCTCACTTCTGTCATTACATACAATGTGTCTAACTCCAAAGTGGCAATGTTTTTTTCCAGAGAAGGAAAACATAAACTTCTATTAACGAGATGAGAGCTGGGCACAGTGGTTCATACCTATAATCCTAGCACTCAAGAGGCACAAAAGGATCACTGCAAATTCTAGGCCAGCCTGGGGCTACACAGTGAGTTCAAGGCTAGCCTGGACTACACAGTGAGACCTTGTCTCAAAACAAACATTCACATACATATAAAACAAAACAGCAATCCTCTTCCAAAAAAGAAAGAGAAAACCATGAAACCACAACACACCTAGGACTTACCCTGCTATTCCCAAGAAACCTCGCAATGGCAAAACTCCCCAAATGACACCCAGGACCACAGCGATGATCTGTCGGAACCAGTAGATCACATCTAAAAATTCATCCTGTAGAAAAGACAGGGATGCAAATACCTGTATTATCTGGTGTGGGTACCACAGGACTGCTATTAGTGGGGAAACAGAAAAACTTACTGCTAAACATATTTTGCTGGGAACTTCCCCAAAAGCAATGGTATGTGGCTTTTACATCAGCTTTTACTTAAAGTAAAATGTGGTTAGAAACAAGTATTTAGACATCTTAAGTGATTGTTTCCAGAACCTGTGATCTAAGTTAAAGTTTTAGAGAATTCTTTATCTTTTTGGAGAAGCTATGTAATGAAATGGCTATAATAACTGCTACTGGCCACAGGTAACTCTTAACTGAACAGGGAAGACCTAGACACTCTTTAGGCAAAACTGCTGATACTTATCTGTCCTCTCAGTGCACTAACTTTTGAGTAATTCACAAAGAAAGAATTAGAAATAAAAGTGCTGGAGGCAGGTGCCATGTACATCTAAATTTTATAGAACAGAAGGCAAAGGTTTCTGAATTGTTCTATACTCCAAAAACCAGTCCTTATACGAGGAAAAAAAGAAATGACACAGCAGATCACAGAAACTGCAAGTTTTGCAAGAGTTGGGCAGGGCTCGTCAGGACAAGGGCACCTTCAGGAAGTGCCTCCCATCCCCCTTTACCAGAACTCAGGAAAGAAACCCCAATTTCGGCAGGGTGGAAAAACAAAGGAAGGACTACAAATAAAACGTTCTTTTCTAGTCAGCTGGAATTAAGCTGCTTGATCATCCCTTCCAGATCATGGAACAAAGCTGAGGTGTGCCCACACTTAGATCTTCTGAATATGACCAGCAGGAACATCCTTCCTCTCTCTCATACACTGGCCCCAGAAGGAACAACACTGTCCTTCCCACTGAACAACAGAAGGATGGCAGTGCACCCTTAGCGAACTTCACTATGTGCCGAACGCTTTGATGCACCACGGCATTCCCACTAAAGGGCTGATCTGAGAATTCAATTCAGTGAGATTGTGCATAAAAAGGACCTGGCACAGAGTCTTCAGTACAAATCTGGCACCCTTACTGTTTGTGCTAAGACCCTACTAGGATAAAATAGTAAGACTCAGTCGAATGCAGCTCACTTGTGTCACGCATATAACACTCCCAACCTTTGGATGACAGTTCTTTTGCTTCCACCTCGCCGCTTCCGTGCGACCTACGGACTTCACTTTGGGCAAGCCCAAGTTCGCCCAGGGGCCGTCTGCCCCACTACCGCACTCCACCCCGCCCAGATCGTGTAGGGCAGGTCCGGGCCATTCCTCCTGCCCACCGAGTACCAGCCATATCCTCGAACCTGCGATCTTGCCAGCCACCCCCGCCCCCGTACCTTGTCTTCCCAGGCCGCGTCGCTCCGCAGCACCTTGCTCCAAACAGAGACTTTGGGGGCCCCGTTGGCCAGCTGCGGCTGAGACGGCTCCTCCTTCCGCCGCCCGCCGCTCATCCTCCCGTCGCGCCGCCCGGGCCAGGCCTGGGGCGCGCGGGCCGAGCCAAAGGTAGACGGGGTCTGGGGTCGCGGGTCACCGCGCACGCGGTGGCGGCAGCAACAACAGGATCAACACACCGCAGCTCCACTGGCTTGGCTAAACTGCTCGGTTCGGCTCACTCCACCGAGCTGGCGCCGCGCAGAAAGGGGCAGAGCCACGCTGCGCGTCCTCTCGCCGACGTGCCCACGCAGCCAATCGGCAGCCACGCAGCTGCCCGAGCGAAAGAGCGGCCGTCGCCTCGGCGCCGGCGACGTGCGCATGGCGGAAGTGACGGCAAGCTTCCGCCGGGCGTTCGGAAAGGGTGAGGGGGAAGGTACACGGCAGCTCGAGGAGGCGCTGTGGCTACTGAGGACCCCGACTGAGGCTAAAAGTGGAGATCGCTCAGGCAGCTACACCTTGTCCCATGGAGCCTTGCGACCTGCTCACCTGTAGAGCCTGGATCGTATTCTCTTGAACCCTAAGTTGCTCGGGGCTGTCTCCCCTGAGCTGCAAATTTGTAGGGCTGTGTTCAAGATGTTAACTCTTGTCTGTAACAGCGTACGGTGTCCTTTTGCCCAGCACCGTTTTCACAAATGTGAGCTCTCAAGAGGAAAAATTATTTTCAAGGCAAGTTGGAACCAACTCAGGACTTGTTCAGGGGAAAATAGGAGAAAATACTTCATGACTGTTGATCATTTGTATCCTATGTACTAGCTAGGTTCGTGGTTCACAAAAAGTTCGTATGTTAGTGGACCAGCAACAGCAGCAATTTGATAGAGGTGCGAATTCTCGGACCCCGTTCCAGACTTCTCCATAAGAAATTCTGGGGTAGGGCTGATGTCAGTATTTTTGTAGTTAGGTGATTTTTGTTGTTGAGCCAAGGTCTTGCAATGGTAGTTCAGGCTGGCCTTGAACTGGCTAGCCCAGCCTGGCCTTGAATTTACCTCAAATCTCCGGCCTCCGCCTCCCCTGTGGGGGCCTGTACCAACAGGCCTTACATTAAGCTTTCCAGGTGGTGCTAACCACGTTGCTGCACGATAAATCGAAGGACCAAGATACATCACTTCTCTGCAAAGTAACTTACCCAGAATCACACCACTAGTACCTTGGTCTAAGGCTAAATGTGTGCGTAAACACACATTTTTTTTTTTTTAAATCGGTACCGGGGATCGAACTCATGACTTCGCACTTGCCAAGCAGCCACTTATGCCACTGAGCTGCATCCCCAGCCCTGGATGTAAACTTTTATTTTTTTGAGAGCGGGGGTCTTGCTATGCAGTTCAGGCTGGCCTTGAGCTCACTTTGTAGCCCAGGCTGGTCTCGAATTTGCAAGGATCCTCCCACCTCAGCTTCCTGAGTGCTGGGATTACAGGCGTGAGCCCCCACGCCCGGCCTTGGATGTAAACTTTAATGCTAATTTTCTTTTTAAATTTCACTGCGTAAAATTTTTTAATAAAAAATATGGGGCCAGGGGTTTAGCTCAGCAGCATAAGCGCCTGCTTGGTAAGCTCGAGGTCATGAGTTTGGTCCTGGTACCAAAAAAAAAAAAAAAAGTGACATTGTCATTTTTAAAATCAATGAATGTATGATTTAGTGCTAATTTTCACGATGATTTTTTTCAGCCTTGTAAATTTTCTGAACCAGTTTCTTTTCCATATACAACAGTAAAGCTTAACTCATTCTAGTTTGGGAAATATCACTGGTACAGATCTCTTTAAGACTGTGTGTGGCATGTAGTTCTGGAGACAAAAATGATTACATCATACTGTGTTGGAAGAATGATTAGCCTGTGGTGCTGGCTTGTAATCCCAGCATTCTGGAGGCTAAGGAAGGAGGATTGTCACAAGTTTGTGGCCTGCCTGGACTACAGGCAGTGAGTTCAAGGCCAGCCTGAACTACATAGTGAGGTCCTATCTCAAAAAACCAAAAAAAAAAAAAATATATATATATATATATATGTATATATATGTGTGTGTATACATATATATATATATAAATATAAAGTACTGGCGGTATAGCTTTGTGGTAGAGTACAGTAGTTATCTAGCACCCACAAATCCTTGAATTCAGTCCTTAGCACTGGGGGAATAAAAAAGGAGAGGGGTTATTAAGTCTGTCAAAGTCACTGAGTGAATTTCTAGGGTCACAGAACTTGGGAGAAAAATTGTATTAAAAAAGAATTCTTTTAGGGGCCATAAATGTATCTCAGTGATAGAGCATTTGCCTAGCATGCAGGATCCCCTGAAATTCCATCCCCCCATCACAAAAAAAAAAAAAAAAAGCCTTCAGTTTTGTTTTGTGGTGTAGGAGATTGAAATTGAGCTATGTCCCCTATAGGCATTTTAAAATTTTGAGATAGGGTCTAAGTTGCCCACACTGGCCTTAAACTTGTAATTCTGCCTCAGCCTGTCAGGTAGCTGATATTACTATGCTTGGCAAAAGTGCTTTATTTATGTATGTATTTATTTTTGTCTTTTTGAAACGGTTTCTGAGGCTGGCTGTGAACTCATTATGTAGCTCAGGCTGGCCTTGAACTCACAGCAGTATTCCTGCCTCTGCCTCCTGAGTGCTAGGATTATTGTCATGCCCCAGCATGCCTGACTAAAACTTTTTAAATTAAAATTATTTTAAAATATTAAAATATTTCAGTATTTACTTTTGTTTTTTGAGACAGCCTCACTATGTGACTCAGGCTGGCCTTGAGCTCCCAATCCTCTTGCCTCATCATCCTGAGTGCTGAAATTATAGACATGTGTTAAGAAGCTGGGCAAAAATATTTTTTATTTTTTTGTTTGTTTGTTTGTTTTTGTCTTTTTCGTTTTTATTGGTACCAGGGATCGAACTCACGACTGCCTGCTTGCAAGGCAGGCGCTTATGCTGCTGAGCTAAATCCCCAGCCTCTAAAAATATTTTTTAAATTGTAGTGAAATATATATAATAAAAATTTTTTTTTGTCTTTTTTTTTTTTTTTTTTTTTTTTTTTTTTTTTTTTGTCTTTTTCGTTTTTATCGGTACCCGGGATCAAACTCAGGACTGCCTGCTTGCAAGGCAGGCGCTTATGCCGCTGAGTTAAATCCCCAGCCCCTAATTTTGTTTTGTTTTTGCAGTACTGGGACTTTAACTCGGGGCTTTCTTCATATTGAGCTTATTAAAAATCATTCATGCCAGGGCTGGGGATTTAGCTGAGCGGTGTAAGTGCCTGCCTTGCAAGCAAGTAGTCGTGAGTTCGATCCCTGGTACCGATAAAAACGAAAAAAAAAAAATCATTCATGCCATTATATGTGAGGATTTATTTTGGGACCCTCTGTTCTGTTGATTTCTATGTCTGTTTTTTTCTAGTGGTTCACTGTTTTTATTTTATTTTATTGTTTTATTTTTGGTACTGGGGATCAAACTCAAGACCTCACGCTTGCCAGGCAGGTGCTTATGCCACTGAACTAAATCCTGAGCCCTGGCTCACTGTTTTGGTTACTGTAGCTTTGCAGTAAGCTTTGATATTAGGAAGTATAAATCCTTCAACCTCCAACTCTGAATTTTGTTTAATTGTTTGTTTTTTGAGACAAGGTCTAGCCATATAATCTAGGCTGGCTTTCAACTCGCTGTGTAGATCAGACTGGCCTGAAACTCATAGCAATCCTCCTGCCTCAGCCTCCCAAGTGCTGGAATTACAGGGGTGTGCTACCATGCCCAGCCAATTTTTTTTTTTTTTTTTTTGAGACAGAATCTGTGTATTCCAAGTTGAACTTGAACTTGCAGTTCTTCTCCCTCAGCCTCCCAAATGCTGGGGTTACAGCATGTGCCACCACATCCAGTTTGTCCTTGAGGATCTCTTTTTTGTGTGGTATTGGGGATTAAACTGAGGTCCTCTCTATGAGCCCTTTTTTATTTTTATTTTTTGAGACACAGTCCTCCTATATTACTAAGTTGACCAGGCTGGGCTTGAATTTGTGATCCTCCTGCTTCATCCTCTCAGAATGCCAGGATTGTAGGCATATACCTTCAGGTTTGACTTATTTTTTCTTTTTTGCTACTATTGTAAATGAAATTGTTTTCTTTACTTTTCAGATTACTCATTGGTATATAGAAATACAACTTGTCTTTGCATGTTGATATTATATTCTGCAACTCTGCTGAATCTTTATTCTTGTTTTTTTGGGAGGGGCAGGTAGCAGATATGGAACTCAGGACCTCATGCTTCCAGGCAGGCCACTGAGCTAAATCCCCCGCCTGAATTTTTTTTGTTCTAGCAAATTTTTTTGGTAGTATCTTTAGGGTTTTCTACATACAAAATCATCTTTCAATATATTGAAAGGAATCTCAGGAAGTTTCCTGTGAGAAACTTCCACGGAGGAAAAAAACACTATTTGTTTATACATGCTATTTGTATGATATTGAAGACCTGGCCTTGTTAACTTTGAGAACATTAAATTATGTTTATGTGGGAGTATGGGAGATTACAGAAAGTTATAGTTGGAAGGCTTCTCAGAACCTGCAGTGCAACGCAAGGTCAGCAGAGCAAAGTAGAGGTTAAATAGCCATCTGAAATCTGATCTATGTTTCTCTTCTTAGCTTTCTAGGAGTAGACAAAGCCATGCTGGCAGTCAGGGTGGAAGTCCTTGCCTAGAAGATATTTATGAACTCAGATTTGTTCTCTTTCTGTTTTCACCCAAGACTTTCCTTATCTTAGAAAGTGGGAATCTGGCTGAATCCCAGCACATTCATGTGTTTAAAAGGAACATCTTGGGTGGTCCAAGATGGAAAAGGACCTGCTGAAGTGTCAGATTTGGAAGCCAGAGACCAAGCTGGAAGTAGGACACATTTTGTCTTTGTGAGGTGTGGGGCTTTTTAAGCACTGGTTGAACACATTAGTTTCAGCTTTAAGAATGCGTATTTTCGGGGCTGGGGATTTAGCTCAGCGGCATAAGCACCTTCCTTGCAAGTGTGCGGTCATGAGTTCAATCCCTGGTACTGATAAAAAAGACAAAAAAAAAAAAAAAAAACAACTAAAGAATGTGTATTTTCTCCTAGCTGGAAGCCTGAGTCACTGCCAGCTGCTTATGGGTTTGGCGAGGAAGGTGCACTCACTCCAAAGGGTAAGACTGTGGCCCCTGACCCTGATGGATCACAGAAGTTAGAGGTATAAAGGGGGACCACCAGGCACAGGATGAACACCTTTTTGGAAGCAGAGGTCTGATTTTGTGTCCTGGACACTTTCTCTTTTTCTGCCTATAGTAAAGTTATACTAGCATTTTGTAAGTCCTACTAAGTGCCAGTTACTTAAGAAATGTTTCACATACATGTGTTTTCCTGCAAATGCTAGCAGGACTCAACTGTCCTACTAAATTCCTGTCCTTTTAACTTTCATTTGTTTTTCTATAGTGAATATAGACAGTTTTTCCTTTGGTGGCCCTGGGGGATTGGTTCCATGGATACTATGGATACTAGAATTTGTGAGCACTCGAGGTACCTTATATAAAAGTGTATTTGCTTGTAACCTGTGCATATCTGCCTGTGTACTTTAAATCATTTCTAGATTACTGCCAATACCTAAAACAATATAAATGTTATATAGTTATTATACTGAATTGAGGAATAATGACAAGTGTGCATGGTCTGCACAATTTTTCCCCCCAATAATTTCCCATGGTTGGTTCAATCTATGGACGTGGAATCTGGGCATAAAGGTTATGAAAGTAAAAATCTCAGGAAGGCTATACTTGACTTCCAAGTCACTGCTGGGAGCAAAGAAGTCAATGGTTCAAAGAGGACTTTGGGACCGGGGGCATAGTTTAATGGCACAGTGCTTGCCTGGCAAGTGCAAGGTCCTGAGTTCGATTTCCAGTATCAAAACAAAACAACATCAACAATACCAATATCCTTAATTCTTTTCTTTTTAGTATCCTTAATTTAAAGGAAGAGGGGTTTTTGAGTGCATAGTTGGCTGGCACCAAGACATTAACAGCATGGGAGCAAGGCCAGGTGGAAGACAGCTTTCACATCCTGGCAGCCAAAGCAGGAGCATGGGCAGCAGTGAGACATACACCTTGCCAAGGCTTCCCCAAGGACCTACCTCCATCCGGCTTCCTAACAGCACAGAGCTGGGAAGCTCAGTGGGTTAATCCCCTGATGATAGCGCCTCCATGACTTTCACCTTCCTGGAGTCTCCTCATGCAGTTGACAGGTAAATTTAACCTTTAGTCTTGTCCCTAGCTTCAGAGGAAGGTGCTCTTCACATATCCAGTCAACTTTGATTATCTAGAATGCTTATTCATTTCAGGGCCCACCAGTTTGAAAAACTGGTACAGAATGGTTTTAGTTTCAGTTCTATGAAAAGTACTTGTAGGAAGCATCTTGCTGTAAGCAGTAGAATCATCTACTTCCCCTTTTTAGGGGAGTATTAGTATTCATTTTCCAGATGCAAATGAAATTTTAACTTACTTAAAAATTTTTTCTTGAGCCAGGCATGGTGGCTCGGGAGGCTGAGGTGGGAGGGTCCTTGCCAGTTTGAGAATCAGCCTGGGCTACAAAGTGAGCTCAAGGCCAGCCTGAACTGCATAGTGAGACCCTGTCTCAAAAAAGACAAAAAAGGGGGCTGGGGATTTAGCTCAGCGTTAGCTCAGCGGCATAAGCGCCTGCCTTGCAAGCAGGCAGTTGTGAGCTCGATCCCCGGTACCGATAAAAAGGAAAAAAAAAAAAAGACAAAAAAAAATTTTTTTTTTCTCCAGTACTGGGAATTGAACCCAAGAGCCTTCTCACAGAGCTACATTCCAGCCTTTTTATCTTTTACTAAGACAAGTCTCCCTAAATTGCCCATGTGGGACTCAAATTTTCCATCTGCCTCAGCTTCCCAGAGTGCTGGAATTATAGGCCTAGAGGTCACCACACCCAGCTCTAATTTATTTTGAAAGTGTCTTTCTAGCACTCACTCATTCAAGCCCTGAGGCCAAATGTCTGCTTTGGAGGACACAAATTAGAAAATCAAGACCTTAGATAAATGGGTGTAAGTTGTGGCTCTTTTCTCTAGGGTACTTGGCTGGTGAGGTTCACTCTTTAAAATCCCTAAAGGAAAGTGAAAGAGAGCACACATCCTTCACAGGTGTATTGGAGAGATGGTGAAGAAATAAGTGGTTGTACAAGACACTTCCCCTGGGCCAGCGATGTAGCTCAGTGGTAGAGTACTTGCCTAGCATGCTCATGAAAAAAAAATTGTGCTTCGCTCATACCACTTTTAGGTAGCTGGTAAATCAACTCCCACTGGTTCAGTGAGATTTTAGGCAGACCTGAGTGACCTTGAAGGAAGATAAACTTGAATTCAAATCCTAGCTTTATAGTTTTGTTCTGTACTCATACTAGATACGCCTTCAAGCAGCTTAATTCCTCACCCAGTTTTTACCTAGGAAAACAGCATCTCATTTTTGTGTGCGCCCATACGATTTCTAAGATTGTAAATGAAGGCAGACACAAGGTTCCCCCCCCCCAGCAGGATTGTACCCAGGACCTTCAACTGAACCACATCCCCAGGGTCTTGCCAAATTGCTCAGAGTAAGCTTGAACTCAAGGTTCTCCTGCCTCAGCCTCCTAGAATACTAGGATTACAGGAGGTACGTTCTAACACACCAGGCTTCAGAGCCTTTGGGTTTTGTACTTTGGGCTGCTATTTTGATATGGATGAAATGCACTTACAGCTAGTTTAAGCAAAGGGGAATTTACTGGCTTACACAGTAGGGAAGTGGAGGTGGTACTGGCTTCAGGAATGCCCCGAGTGCTGGTCTTATATCTGTTTTTCTGTACTGGTTTAATGCTGCAGTTGTGCTCTTCTCATTGATGGGGTGGACAAAGGTGCCAGTTCCCCACATTCATACCCCTGTCACTTAGCAACCCCAAAGTTCAACTACTGATCCCAAGAAAGACTGGCTCAGCATGAAATGGTTAAATCCCCTATATTGTGATGAACGGGATATGGAATGGGGTTGAGGAAAGAAAACAGGAGACAGAATACACAAAACTCACATATGGCTACTAAAGAGAAAGGTAAAGCAGAATATAAAAACTTGTTTCCAGAGCCAGTGGATCAAGCACTTTTTTCTACTTTAAAAATAAAAACAAAACAACTTTATTTGACAAAAGACAAAAAAACGGAAGTTATTTACAGTAGTTGTTTGCTCAAATAATTGAACGGGACAACTGCTTCTTCTCCAGGTGTATTTTATAACCAAATGCAAGCAGAGGCTGCCCCACCCCCAGAGGTGCCATTTTGACCAAGCGGGGAATGCCAACCAGAATTCAGCAGCATGGCTCCCTCAGTCCCCTTCCCTGCTCAGTGCTCTGTGAGAAGGGAAATCCCATTCAGTCCAGTATGCTCCAAGTCCCCTGCTGTGGAGCACCCGCAACAGTCACACTGGTCCCCGGCTCTCTCAGACATGGCTGGGTTGGATGAGATGGGCAGACAGCAACTCCAACTAGCTCTGAAGCTGCCATGTTCATTCTTTACCAGCCAGGCCTCAGGAGGAGGACCCTTGACCCCCTGTGGCATAGGAGGAAGGGGCTGGAGGGGAGCAGAACACAGCCCAGGAATCTTGCCCACCAATAGCTGTTTCAGTTTAAAAAAAAAAATAAATTTCTACTCCCACAAGCAAGGGATGGAACCAGCCCCTCAAGGGGTGGGGGAGCCTCTTGAGGGCGCCAGGGATCTTTCTGAAAGGACAGAGGATGTGTTCTTTTTTCTGGCTGGGTGCATCCAAGTCAGCCAACACCCAGGAACTCCTTCCCCTTATGCCCAACCTGGCTATTTCAGCAAACTACAGTCTGGGGCTCCTGGTCTTTTTTTTTTTTTTGCCCAGAAACAATGTTATTAAGAACAAAAATACGTTGACTAATAAAAATCTAAGATTAGTGTTTCTTAGAATATATAAAGATGGGGTATACTGCTGTTGAACACTCAGCAAAGAGACAACAAAATAAAAAGAGAAAGGAGATGATCTGTTCACTGAGAAAAAGGCAGGCCCTGCAACTCGCACTTACAGAAGGGTGAGACAAGGACACTCAAGCTTCCTCCAGGAATCCTTTCCTGCCTTGGCTGTGGCAAGAGCTGCCTGCTGGAGTAGCTACAAAGGCTTCCTGACCAGCAGATGGCTCACTTCTCTCCAAGAAGGAGATGCTAGAGCCTCTCGGGTTCTAGCAAGGTTCCTAAAGGGATTCAGAACTCAGGCTGCAGGACAAAGCCGTGAATAAAGAAGGGGGTAACATTAAAATGAAAGAAAAAAAAAAAAAAACCCACAAAAACCACTTAGTCTAGCATACTTACCCTCCCACCCCCAAATACAGTAAAAAGAAAAATAAAAACAAACACTTCTCTGGTTTTTACCGTTCTTCTCTGCTCTAAGTCTAGGTTTTGTCAAGATTCTATTGGGCTGTCTCTTGGCCTTGTCCCCTTTTGTGCCTAATGCCAAAAAGCCAGTGCCCACGTATTCTCCCTCTACCTTTTTCCCCCCAGAGGTGGTGGGGTTGTGTTGTGGGTGGTAAATCAACACCAAAACAACCATTTGGAAGTTTGTGCTATGCAGAAATTTTGCTGGTCCCCAAAATAACAAACATTCCTTCCTTATACAACAATTCTCAGTTGCAGTGGTAGATAAATCTCTTTATCAGACTCTATCATGCAATGTTCTCATTCCCCACACCTGGGACAACTACTGCTATAAATCAAACCACAGCAAAAAGGGAAAAATTAACAGTTAGCAAACACCTAAACATTCAACTGGAGTCGGTCCTGTTACATCTGCTGGGTTCCTCTTTTGTCCACACTTATGAACCTGAAATGTCCACACCTGGCATGACACAAAGAGGCACAGCTCAGCGGCAGCTTGGACCCAGAGAGGTCTGAACTTGGCTGGTTTCCTGAGCCCAGCCCAGGAAAGGAGGCTGGAACAAGTGTCCTGGGGTCTCTGGAGAAACAGCAGCAGCACCATGCCTATCTCCAATCCCTTGGTCTCATTACCGAGAAGAGGCCTGGAGAAATGGCAGAGTCAGCATAGGAGAGGTCCCCATCACAGCATAGTGATACCAGCGGGCATCTTCCTGCTCAAGACTTCTGGACAGAGGAGATGATCCTGATGCTTGGCAGTGATCCACAGAAAACCCTCTGTAGGAAGGAAGTGAATCGGGAACCCAGGACAGCTGGCTCCAGCCTTGAACACCCCTGTTGGCAGATGCCTACTTGGGGTTCTCAGAAACTAAAGGGATGGGGGTGTGCAACAATGGGGGTGCTGGGTCCTGCTGCTTCTGAAGCTCCATCTCAGCAGCCCTCTGCAGCGCCACCTCCACCAGCAGCTGGAAGCTGCTGAAGTCCTCCTTGTCCTGCTCTGGGGGTGTGGGTGGCGGTGTGTTGAAAAGTCCACCTGTGGGGCTCCCAGCCTCAGCCCTGGTTAGCAGGGTTAATGTACCACTGGGGCTGACCAGTGGCTTAGGGGGCTCTAGCTCCCCTTGTGAGAAGGGAGCTGCTGCCTTTTCCCCCTGGCCTGAGTGGAGTGGCACAGAGCACACAGACAAGGAGAGAACATTGGTGGGAGCTGGTACGGACACAGCCAGCATTGAGGGGCTGTTACCACGAGGAAGGGCTACATCCGAGGCTTTCCCCCCACGGCGGGAAATGGTGAACTGATTAGGGTCTTTGCCATCCTTCCGCAGCATGTCTGGGAGGAGCCGCCGCCGGGCGTTGATGAACCAGTTACATATCTGGAATGAATATGAGAGACTGATCAGTTCACTCCATCCAACCTAGCTAACGAAGTACTGTTTTCTAGGCACCAGGAACATTGCAGCAAACTACAGACATGATCCCTGCCTTTAGAGATTCGTGAAGGAAGGGAGAGTCACATAAGAAGTCACACAAACTGAGCTAGGTGCAGTGGTATGCCCGTAATCCCAGCTACTGGAGACTGAGGTAAGAAGATTGAAAGTTTGAAGCCATCCTGAGTAACTTAATGAGACCTTATCTCAAAAGGAAAAACTTGGGCTGAGGATTTAGCTCAGTGGCACAAATGCTTGCCTGCCAAGTCATGAGTTCGATCCCCAGTACAAAAAAAAAAAAAAAAAGGAAAAACTTAAAAGGGATGAGGATATAGTTTTTAGTGCTCCCTGGGTTTAATCCCCAGGACTGGAAGGAAAAAAAAAAGGTTGGACATGTTAGTGTACTTCTGGGAGGCTGAGGTGGGAGGATTCCAAGTTTGCACCCACTTGGGTCAATTTAGTGACTTAGTCTTGGTAAAAAAAAAAAAAAAAAAAAAGACCTACATAATAATAGCGCAGGGTGGCCTTGAACTTGTGATCCTCCTGCCTCAGCTTCCTGAGTGCTAGGATTGTAGGCATGAGGCATGACACCTGATGAGCTCCTCAAGAGTGGTCATGGTGGTGCATGCTGCCATCCTAGTACTTGAGAGGATCCTTGTGAGTTCCAGGCCACCTGAACTACACAGTGAAACCCTGTCTCAAAACACACACACACACACACACACACAAAGTGTGCGTGTTAGGGATGTAACTCATTGTAAAGCCCCCCCCCCAAAAAAAAAGAAAAAAGGAAAAACAAGTCACATAAATAAATGCCGAAGTGCTACTATGTTAAGGCCAATAAAGGGAAGATCCAATGATGCTTTTGGAGACAATAGTTCTAGGCTCTGAGATTATTAACATTATCTGAACTGCTGCTTAACAGAGACCTGAAGGACAACCAGTTGTAGAGGTGGGAGGCAAGGTAGCAGAGGTGGGTTGCAGCATAGTACCAAAGAGAAACTGCGAAGGCAGGCGCAGGTGGCTGGGGACCAGAGTGGGAACTAGAGATGACAATCTTTTACAGTAAGGATTTGATTCTTTACAGGCAAGTAAAAGAGAGCTGTAAGAGGGTTGTTTTGGTTTTGGAGACAGGGTCTTGCTTTATAGTTCAGGCCTGCCCTGAACTCCTTATGTAGTCCAGGCTGCAAGGCTGGCCTCAAACTCATGGCATTTCTGCCTCAGCTTCCTGAGTGCTGGAATTATAGGTGTGCATCATTAGGAGGGTGGGTCTTTTTGAGAGTTTCACTATATAGTCCAGGTTGGCCTTGAACTCGAAGTAGTCCTGCTGGCTCAGCCTCCTAAGTGCTGGAATTACCTGACTCATTAGGAACATTTTCTTTCTTTTTTATGAACACCAGCATACCTGACTCATTAGGAACATTTTCTTTCTTTTTTCTTTTTTTTTTTTTTTTGATACTAGGGATTGAACTCATGACCTAGTGCTTGCCACGCAGGTGCTTATGCTGCTGAGCTAAATCTCTGGCCCCTTATTAGGAAGATTTTAAGCAAAGGGCTGACTTGTTATGTGGACAACAGATTTGAGACCACAGAGTGAGGCTGGCAGTTCAAATTATGTTAAAGGAGGTGGCAAGAAAAGGACAAATATTTTATGAAACAGACGAACCTGCTGTCCAGCTAGGTGTGGATGGGTAAAGAGCAGATAATGCAGGGTAATTCACTCCCTAAAAGCTGCAAAGTACAACCTTGCTGCAGTGCAGAGAAAAGCCACAAAGGCTACAATGCACCTATAAAAAACATTACTGTTCCTAAGCAATACCAAGATTATGAGGATTGAAATTTTCCACTGATTGGCTGTAAGGCTCTAGGTGCTCATGGTTTGGGGACACATCTAACACCCTACCCCATTTTTGTCTGGGCACCTTCCACATGGTTGAACCCAGGGCCTCTGGCACTGAGCTACATTCCCAGCTCCTGAACTTGACTGTTTTGTGTTTTTTTTGGTACTGAGGATCGAACTCACACAACTGCATACTTGCAAAGCAGGCGCTTATACTGCTGAGCTAAATCCCCAGCCTGAACTTTTAATAGTCTCCATTCCATCCTTGTCACTGGTTGTCAGTCTCTAATTTTTCTTTCCAGCACTGGGAACTAAACTCAGGGTCTCACAAAGGCTAGGCAAATATTGTATGACTGAGCAATACCTTCTACCTTTTTAATTTTGAGACAAGGTCCTGCTAAAATGGCCCTGGTTAGTTGCTAACTTGCAGTACTCCTACCTCAGCCTCCGAAGGAGCTGGGATTATAGGCATGCACCACTGTGCCAGCTGGGGATGCCTTTTAGCAGATATGTATTGTGCCCATGGTGCTAACAGTTCATTGGATCATGTGCACTGCCAATAAACCAGTAGGTGAGTGATCACCATTAAGTGCTAGGGAGGAAAAAAGAACAAAGGAATAGCATATAACAAGTAAGAGACTGCCTAGGTAAGAATCATGCCTAAAGGGTAAAGAAGAACCAGCCACAGAAAGAATTTCCTGAACAGACCAGCAAATGCCAATGTCCTAAGGTAGGAAAGGTTTACAAACTGACAAGGTAGGTGATGGGTTCATTGATGGGCAGGGCTGACTGCACTAGCCTGCAATACTAGTAAACTGCTAAGTGACTTGACTGGAACTTCACACTTTCAGTCAGGTCCCTCTCCTGTTTGTCTTTTTAATTCAATTCATCAGCACATATTTAGGGACTTGTAAGAAATACAAGCTGTTGTAGTACAAAGAAAAGATAGCCCTCTCCTTTCCCTTCACCCCTTGTGTCTAGGAGGTGAGAAGTGTATGGGCAGCAATGTCCAGCATTCCTCTAATGTCTGTGAAGCGCATCAAGGGCCGAAGGCTCTTGTACTAGTTCCTGTTGCTGGCTATTAGATTAGCAGGCTACTTTCTTGATCCATATCTGAGCAAGGCCTTGGTACTATCTTCCCATTGACTGCCTTTGAACAGGCAAAGGGACAGCCTTCTGTGACAGGAGCTGGTGCCTGCAGTTATATCATTCCCCAGATGTTCAAAAAAGAGCACCACAAGGCCAGGAATGTAGCTCAGTGGCATAAGTGCTTGCCTACATGAGGTCTTGAATTTGATCCTCTGTCCAAAAAAAAAAAAAAAAAAAAAAAAAAAAAGCATCAGGTCCCTCAGGCTGGGAAGCCCCCAGGGCACAGCCAGAGGTTTCTGCAGCCCGCTCTATCCTACCCCAATGGACCCTGCCTCTGCAGCCTGTGTACCTCTCTTCACCCTGTGCTCCCCCCAACGTAACTGGGCACGTAACCAGCATCATAAGACGCTGGCTGAGCTGACTGTGCACCGGAGCACATGGGAGCTACAAATAGAAGGCTGAACATCTGGGTGAGAGGAAGGAAGGAAACACTTTCAGTGTCAGGTATCATCATGCCAGCGATCTCACTTGGATTATGTTTAATCTACATGCAAGCCCTGGAGGAAACGAGCAGTGTCTCCACAATACTGCACAGGGAACTGGACCTCAGCAACATGAAAGAACTTGCCCAAAGTCACATGGCCTCTAAGTGCAGAGCTGGGATTAAAACCCTGTCTCTTGGTTGCAGGGGCCCCACTGCTTTGCTCTTCTTCTCCTACAGAGATCAGACAGATAAGCTTTGCCAGAGAATTATGGTCCTCTTAACCCTAAGGGTAACACCTGAACACAGACCAACAGCTGCTCTTCTGTTACATGCATCTTCAGCAGCCTGTGAGGTAGGTTGTATGATAATCTCCTTTGGAGAAATAGAGGCCTTAATCAGGGAGGTTCAGTAAGTTCCTCAAAGTCACACATCTAGAGGCTGCAATTTGACCAGCACCCAGGCTCTTTCTCCTGGCTCCAGGGCAGTATCTTCCCTCTTTCCTCCCTCTTCCCATGGTGGCCTCCTCTGCTACCAGTACACAGCTACTAGTACCAACTATACAGGACACAGCAGCTCTCCACCTCACCCCTGCATGTGGGGGAATGATTGGGTCACAGTAACCTGGATAAGGCAAAGTAGAGCCAGGGGAGTTTCAAGGAGGTGGGCCTGGGTGCTGATAAGCAGCTGGGTGGGTAGCTAGCCCCAATGCCACCTCCCATTTTGGGTGAGGATTCCAAGAGCACAGAAAATACCCACTGTGCACATTCTCAATTGTCATTCAGGTCCACAGAAAACTACACATCTCATCCCATAGAATGCAGTACCCACAGGGGAGGGGGACCCAAGTGTATCATTGCATTGTGGCCTCTGCCAGCTGCCTAACACTCTTGTAAGTCAGAAACAACTATGTGATTTGCCCCACTCAAGGCCATCAGAGAGGTGGTGGAAGTGTGGCAGTCACTTCCACAATTCTATTCCATGATGCCTCTTTTTGCCATCAGATAGGCTCATGGCTTTTTGTTTTGAATCACTGGCAAATGGAGGAGAGGGAAGGCAGGAAGGGCATCTGTAAGCAGACCCAGACCCTGAGGATGAAACAGTATAATCGGAGAAGCCAACCAGGTATTTTCACTCTAAGGTCTTCTAAGCTAGGAAGGACAGCAAGAACAGAAGGCAGGGACAGGCCTTTCATAAACACGGTATCAGCCTATGTCTGGTAACCACCTACACCTAGGTGTTGAGACAGCATCTTGTTATGTTGTTCAAACTGGCCTCAAACTTAATGGCAGTCTCCTTAGTCTCCCAAGTGCTGGGCTTCCAGGTGTTCTTAAAACAGCTGGCTGAGTTAGGTCTGTGGTACATGCCTTTATCCCAGAACTTCAGGAGGCTTAAGTAGAACTGCAAGTTCTAGCCCTGCCTGGATGACTTAGTGAGACCTCGTCTCAAAAAATGAAAAAAAAAATGACTAGGATGCAAAGGCCTGGGTTCAATTCCCAGTGTGGGGAAGGGGAGTGACCACCTGGCTGTATTACA